CACATCAAAAATATTTACACAGACATGCAAATGACACCATACACTGACAACAAAATACATTACAGTAACTACTCACTTCTGTGTTATCTCACGATGCAGATATTTCATGTTTGCTCAATGGCAAATATTTTAAACTACAGCAAATACAGTAGGTGACGATGATGATGACCTTTTATTTCTGACATAAAAAACCCCCAACAAACCAATATATCCACATACATACAAGTACATCCATATAGATATACACAATTTTATATGAATAGAGCGCTCAAAAAATTTAGTATTTTGTGTCAGCAAAGTGTTACAGCATTTCCGTATTAATATCAATGTGTCACATTATATTTTGTATGCTGTTTGTTAGTACTGACCGTTTTCCTCTACATCAGTACTGTTATTTTCCTATTGGTGTGATAGCACATTTGCTTCTCTCTCTCTCACTTGCTCTCTCTCTCTCTCTCTCCCTCATTCTCACTCTGCCTCTCTTTTCTACCACTTCCTCACTACTGTGGCCTATATGCAGTTTGATGCAAGGAAGCGATCAGCTCATATCTACTACAGCGTCAGGCCGAGGGGCCCTTCTCCAGCAACCGGGCACTCTGTGGGATCGTCATGGGAAACTGTGCTTCAGGGTAAGTCATCATACACGCTCATACATTCATTCACACATTCCTATAAGTGGGGACTTTCATATATTACAAAGTTATTCATCAGAATGTGATGTATTCTAAAACACTCCTTTAACTGCTGTAAATGCAGAAAATATATTTAAGGTATTTGTGAATTAACTACAGCGAAAATATTTATAAAAAAAAAAAAAAGTTTAAATGAAATGATTGTGCAGTTTTTTACAAGAAGTTTCTACATTTCCTCTAGCAAGGAAACCGTGGTTACGAGATAAAAATAGCCCTGGGTTCTGGTTGTCTTCTTACAAGAACTAAGTCAAATACAAAGAACATATTTTGCTGTTGCGTTACATATTCAATATATTACCGTCTAAAATGGCAAGTCTAGAAATATGCAAAGCGTGATGCCCTCGTTGGTTATTCACTGCCATATTCAGTTGGTTATAAACAGGTGTTGATTGTAGGTCTATGTAAAGTGTTTCCTGTTGCAGCACAAGCGCTTAATTGTTAAAGCTGTCAAGGAAACACTGCTGTTGGCTAAAGCCCACACCTGCTGCCACAGATAATATTTTATATGATTTATTGAGGTGAAAGACATATGACTCAATAAGCAGTATTATCCAAAGGCGTTATTCTTCTGTGTGTGCTAACATTGTGGTCCTTGGTAGCTTATCGTTTCAATTTGCTTTATTTTCAGAAAGAAGAAAGAGAAAGGTAAAAGCTATTTTGTATTACTAATTTCTTATTGCTTTTGTGTTACTTTCCCCAGTATAAATGTGATAAATATCATAAACAAAAGAAAAAACTATTATAATTTTATGATTTTTCCATATTTCCTCTTTCAGGGGATTCTGAACCAGATGATAAGACCGCGAATGACAAGGTAGACATCCCCACATTAATTTTGGTTCTATTTCTGTTGACCATAAATCTTCACCGTTATCAGCTCATGATTTTCATAAGACATGGGTGTGTTCCACTTTGGATTTACATACTTGGAGAAGATTAACATGAGGCTTCTGCCGTAAAACAAACTACACAGGAACCCGCGGCATGTAGACACATTTCAAAATATGCCAGCTGCAGAAACACAGTGTAAAAAGTAGAATAAATTATTTGATGGGCACAATACGGGTAGATGATCACCCATCTCACTCTCTCTCTTCCAGCAACCCAACGAAGATGTAACGTATGCTTCTATTAACCACGACAAAGCCAAAGGAGCAAGACATAACAGACCACCGACAAACCAGATCACCGACGACGACTGCGACTATGCTACAGTTAATATTCCTGCAGCACTTCAGCCTCAGTCTGAATCTGAGTGCTCATCTAAAGACGAATGTCCAGATGATTATGTACTTATGGGGTAAACAAACGGAAGTGGAAGCATTTGTTCGGTCAAGTGAGTTGCAGAAAATATCTGATGCCAGGTAAAGGCATGCAAGAACTTGTTTGCACTTGAATTGTCTTAGCTTAATCAAGAGCAGATCTTGATTATCAAAGAAACTGCCAAAATGAGAAGATTAACAGCCAACAGCAGCTGATTGCGGAAGTATGTACAGTAACCAGAAAGAAGTTTCTCTCCACAATTGAAGAAACGTTTTAACCAGAACATGGTGGTGGTGTTCCTTCCTCAAGAAGACTAACTCGCATTGCAGACGAACCTGCGAGAGATGACACGATTCTCGAGACATCGGGACTTTACTAAAAGATTTGAAAAATCAGAAGAAAGCCAACAAGCTTTCATCAATTCTGGACCTCTCTGAGAAGGGCAATGCATCCAAATCAGGAAATACAGAAGTTTGTGGCATGCAATTACTACTTACAAGTGAATCGATGAAGTCTTAAAGCCACCATGTGTGACATTTTAATGTGAATTTGAAAATGTTCGAAATAGAAGTTATATTTTGTTGTGTTTCTTTAGCTTTAGGTTAGGTTATGTGATTTATGTTTTGGCCCCAAGTTCCTAAAACATCACAGCACAAATTCAAAACTTGCTCCTCTTTAAAGAGAAGTTTCCCTGAAGAAACTCAGACTTTTTGACCTGTTTGACCTTTTTGAGACTGTTGCCACACCACAACTGAAAGTCTGAGAATGTCCACCACATTCTCAGACATACCTAACATTTTGTTTGCATAGGAAAGTCTAGAACTGGTATTTTGTGGTTTCATAGCGTGCATGTGCAACAATAATGGCAGAACTGTTTGGGGGTTTTTGAGAGACAAATTTGTTGATATGAATGCATCTGCTGTAAGGTGCTGCTCAGGAAGGTTTGATCATTATCTAGAGTCTGTTGCTGGTGGTTGGTGCTGAAACAATGCCAACTCTTTGCTCCACCATTAATCAGTTTCACAACGCCCCATACTGAGTTCCCTCAGAAAGCGTTTTCAAACTTAATACTGCCCAAACCTAAAATGCAATCCAAATGTGCAACCAAATACGAAAACAGTTTGTGTAATTTGATCTATTGCCACATTATAAAACGATAGTCCAGACCACACATAGTCAGAAGCATTTCACAGCATGTAAGAAGCACTCCACAGGCCCCAATATACTACAAACACACTGAAAGGTTGAGAAGTTGTTTGTTTGTTTTTTCTTTGAGAGATGGTTTTTTGTGCCTTTTAGTTTGAATCTGTCTAATCAACAGAATTATTTATACATTTAACTTCATGGCAGAGTACTGTTATTTACCCCATCTGTTCTTATTCTGCTGTATGAATAAACTGCATGTCTGAAAAACTGAAAGAAGAAGAAAAAAATCTTTTCAATTTAAAACGAAAACCAGTTTTGCTATTTGCTTCTGCTTTTAAGAGGAAATCATGTTAATGTGCTAAGTCACTGTAAGAGTTCAAATAGTCAGGCTGTGAAAATAGGGATATATTTGTGAGGCAAATTTTTAGTTCTCTCATTATAATGGAAATACAATTATAGTCACTGCAGCTCTTGCCTCTGATCTACCCTCTATCACTTACTAAAGCTACTGAAAAGAACAAGTGTGAAGCCACTGACATACATGTGTGTATATATATATTCATGTATATGGAGAGAGAGAGACTTTGACTTTTGGTTTAGATCATTGTTAATGAGTATAGTGTTGGTGATCATGTCAGAATTGATGAATGAATGCAGAAATGTGCCATCAGCTTTTCAACCGCCATGCAAAAGCATTTGGAATGAAGCTGAAGCTGGAACAGCTTCATTTTTCAGAATGACAATGATCCCAAACACACTGCCAATGGAAAACAGTCGTGGCTTGGCCTCGCCAGAGCCTGGACCTCAACAATATTGATACAGTGTGGGATCATCTTGAAAGAGAACAGGCAGCCAACATCCAAATAAGGGCTTTCAATGTCCTTCAAGAAGTCCGGAGAACTATTCCCAAAGACCAAATAATGGCTTTCAAACTCGGAGGAATAGATTGACTTCTATCAGTGAAATTATTCAGACGCCTTGCATCATTTAATCCTGTAGCAACATAAATTCTATTATTCACCAGTAGAGGGCAGAATAGTTCCTTTTTCTAGTTTCTTTTCTCGGAACTGCATTAGTCACTGTTACTGTACTGAGGTGAGTCTTTACACATTCACTATGAAAAAAGTGACAATTAGTATTGATTGTATTTTTAGTGCATGCCCTCAAACAATGAAAAAGTCACCTTGGCAGATATCACTGTTAAAATGTTGAGAACAACTGTTTTGACTCTTTTTGGTGTATCTTGCTGAGTTGCTCTGATGCAGCGTTACTAATGTTGTTCCTAAGTCTGAAGAATGTAGCTAAAATGAAGTCAGCATTTATACATGCACTTTAATACAAAGAATCATATCATCTCACATTCATACATAACATAAATACTTCACATGGCATTGTCCACATTACCTTGAGACAGCTATGTGATTAAAATGCATGTTTTCGTTGCTTGGTGCTTTTACTGTAGCCACTCCAGCATGATTCTATGTAAGAAATGATCATCTATTTAACTGTTAATGTTTAAATAAGTGTATTTGTACATAATTGTAGCTAATATATTTCATCAGCATTATCAAAAGTCTGTAGTTCTGTAGTCTTACATGCTGCATGTGGCTCAAGAGCCTCCTCATTTCAGCAGTTCAGTGCATTTTTTAGTTAATGTTCTCCTTGAGACCCACACAAAGTGGTGGGCAGACATCAGGTACATCCCCCGTTCCATTAGTTAAGTGTTTATTAGGATACATTTAAAGCGAGAAACTTTCCTCTTTCAGAGAAAATCTTTGATCCTTCCCTCTCTTTACTATTTCACCCTTTCTCAGTTTCACAGCCCTCAGTTTCTCACAAAGACTTGTTGCATTTAGGCTGTGATGCATGTGCACGCTCTTTTTTCTTTTTCTTTTGTCATTGTGAACATATCTGCAGATCAGTTATAGATAGAGTTCACACGTTGAACATAGCTAGCATAGGGCTCCACTTCCTCCACATCCTCTATCTACAAAAAAAAGAAAAAAAAAGAGAAGACAAAAGAGATAGAACAGAGGGAGGTGTCTTTAACAAAACATGACAAAGTGCAGTCAACAACCAGAACTATAAAATACAGGCAGTTTTACCTACCGGTGGGGATTTGGAGGAGGAGGTATCTGACTGTTGGTGTTGCCTGGCAAAAGTTACACAAACATGTTCAGTAACCTGGACACTCTCAGAACACAAGTTATTATTTTGATTCAATTTCTGTTAAATTAAACCTGTTACCTCAGCTTCATGACCAAAAAAAATAAGAGTCCCGCTAAAAATGCAATTATTATCCCAGCTATGAGTGCATACAGCCAGAGAGAATAAACTGTAGGGAGACAAATGAAATGTTTGTTAATACCTTAAATGCACATGGTTGTGTAACTTTTGTGCCTCCGTTTGTAGAAGCCTGACCTTTAACTTTTTGATATTCCAAAAATACAATCTTGTTCAGGTTCTGGTGACTGATGGTGCAGCTCAGGTTTTCTGGATCTATGCCTTCAGGAAGCTCCAAACGACTTTCTACTGTAAAAAGTCCATTTATCCCAGGCAGTTGTTGCACAGAAGAATTTCGTGCATGATTCCAGCTGATGTTGGCTGCAGGATTTCCATTTTCAGCTCTACATACTGCTACCATTGTGTTGTTTTTGTACTCTATCCAGGCTTTTATTTCAGGAGTCACTAAATCAAAACAGACAAAAAAAAGAAACAACGACAAAAACAAATCATTTAAGCTTGCTATATTAGAAGTTTAACCACACCACAAAATAGGATTTGCATGGCATGGTGTGCTCTATTTTCATTTTTCTTTGTTTTTCATTTTCAGATCAAATATCTAAATGTGCTAAATGAAGAATGTTAACAATGAAGTCAGTGATCCATTGAGAGCAGAGTTGTCAAAAATGAGGCCCGGGAGCCAGAATTGGCCAATCGCTCCCATTGGATAATTGAATGAAAATAAGTGTATATTCATTCAAGGTTTAGATTTTTTCCAAGTGATAAGGGACCTCCCCTATTGTATTTCATACTACACCAACATAATTAAGTAACAGGTAAACAATAACAATTAAATTGGAGGAAAAGCCTGTTTTTCACGATCTATTATATAAATTTCAGATGTCTTTTATCTGCTGCAGCAGCATTTGAATGTTTCATGACATGCTGCTGAAACCGCACTTCTGTTTCTTAGATTAAATGTGCAGTTAAAATTCTTTACGCTCACAGAGAGAGGCATTTTCCTGATTCAGAGGACTTCAGATCAAAGTGCTGCATGTGGCCCGCGATGTTAAATGAGTTCCACATCCCAGCTCTAGAGGACAATGTGTTTGTGTCCAAAAAAGGCAAACTGAAGATCACTTTTTAAAAATGTGCCACCGAAAAGACTTTGCAGAGCAACATAAATGCATATCCATTTTACTCCTTTATGAGGTATAAGCTGAATGGTAGAAGGCTGATATTTCAACTATCTGTATTCTTATATATCAATAGAGGTACCAAGGTGTGTGACTAATGTTATAACAGAAGTCCTACCTGTGATATTCACGTGGATTTCACAATTGGTAGCTCCTCCTCTGTAAGCAAACTCACACGTGTAGATTCCCACATCATCTTCTGAGAACTTTGGGATGTGTAGATATGGCTGAGAATTGGATGTGTTTCGGAGTGACTTTCCATCATTGCAGGTGTCTGAGTTTCGACCATGACTGTCAAAGTTGATCTCACAACGGGTTTTGTTAATCAATTTAATTTTCCAGATAACATAAAATGTCTCATTCCACATCTTATCGGTGCATGTCAGATTAGCATCACTCCCATTACTGAAAAGTTCATTTCTGCGTTCTGGAAAAAAAAAGGAAGTGTGAATAATAGATTTGCTAGTATATACAAAAAAGGCAGACAAGCAAAGAAAAAATAGAAAGTATTTGTTTATGTTATGCATATGTTAAATATATTTACTTAAAGAATAAAGCTGCAGCATCAAACACAGATAGAAAATAAATCATAACATTGTTTATTTTTTTGTAATAATTTTTAAGATTTGTCTAATTAGCACTACAAAAAAATGTTTTATATATTACAAAAAAACTTTTTTTTAAAAAAGGAAAATAAAAAAGGAAGAGGGGAAAAAGAACGAAAAGCGGTAATGAATCAGACAAAGACTAATAAATAGCACCTTTCTTATTCAACAAGTATTGAAGTGCTTTAAAGCACTTTTTCTTTCGCTTTAATACATTTTAAGTAAAGAAGGTTGTGCAATGGTTGAAACACAATAAGCAGTAGAAAAGGAATTAAACATAATGTACTGACATTTTCACATTTTGCTAGTCACACTTTCTCACTTCATATTTTACTCATAGTGAACAGTAGCAGTATAGAAACACGGGGAAAGACTGTTACCAGTGATAGGAGGAAAAGTGGTGTTCACAGGGGCCCTTTCAGTAGTTCCTGAGAGAGACGAAGGTGAATTAAGGAAAAAGTTAGTAGAATGTTTCAGTAATTAAAGTAGCAACAAAATATTCATTTTGAAGTGCTCAGTCAGCAGAGCAGCAGCGATGGTCGTCTGTTAGTTGAAGTTTAATCGGTTAAGATGTAACATGAATTGAATGGCCATGCAGGAGAGTTAAACAACAAAGAGCTGTGAGACAAACTGCACTTTTTTAAGCTTTTGAAAAAAACAAACAAACATGACAGTCACCGAATGTGGGGCGATAAAATGTCACAGTTAAAGTTCAGCTCCTTATAAAGCCGACAAAGGTTAATCACAATCTTCCACGTTACCCAGAAGCCAGAGACACAGTCGGTATTTCATATAAGTGAAACGGAAAATTCAAGGTGGATGTGTTCAGTGAGTTGTTTACATCTGACAGGTGTAAAACCAAGACCACGCAGAAAGTGAGTGAACAAAACCACAACTCTAAAACGGAGACCCCCTTACAATGCAGAAAGAGCTGCATCATAGTTTTACCCAGATGTGAAATCAAGATTTCCAGGGTAGTACCAGGCAGTTTGATCATTCAGAAAAGACGGGGCTGACTTCTGTTATGGAACACCTTTTCCCCCTGCCAGTTTCTGCTCTGGCCCACTGTCATGCATAGTCTTTCCACACACTGTCTACGCTGTGAATCAGAATACAACCATTTCACTGAAATCTCAGGAGGCCCACAACCACTTACAGTTTACAACTCACCCACTTCATAGAAATGAGCCACAAATCTAACACTAATTACCTCTGTTATTATGCATGCTACACATATTTGACACTAAAATACATTCGCAGAGTATAATGACACAAAAAAGGTAAAAAAAAAAAAAACATTTTCAAGGTTTAAAAATGTCTCACTTGTGTCGTAAACCACATGAATCCGCATGGAGTTTGTCATTATGTATTACATTTGTGAAGGTTGCTCACTCTTAAGAAAATGTAAGTAGTGAAAGCTGAAAAACAAATGCAAGAAAAATGAGTGAACATGTCAAACCTGATTCCACGCTCTGTGTTTCAGACAAGAACAGGATCACGACATAAATCCACATAGTCTCTCTCATCGTTGCGTGTCTTCGAGTGCTCCTCTGTAAACTTGCTGCTCACACCGTAAAACCTCAAGTATGGCCTGACATAAACCGTCAGTGCTAGACTCTCTAAAGTAACATCAAACCAAGATGCATTTTCTTTCTCTTCCGTTATCTTGCCATTTCATTTCCTTACTATTCCCAACAAGCTCTGGATTTAAGTGAAGCATGTCCTCCAACAAAGACTTCAGACAAACCTGAAGTCTTTTGTGACACAGTAATATATACATCGTGTGACTAACAAATCCCTCCCTTCTTCTTTCTCATCCCCTCTCTCCAAACCGCTTTCCACTGAGACATCTTGCCTTTTTCTCCCACACAGGATGACGTTTGATAAGTCAAGACACCCATTTCCTCTCTTGCCAGACACATAGCTGTGCTCTCTAAAGTAGTATGTAGTAAAGCAGTGTGCGTGAACACACACATAAAAAATAGAGCAACGTTATGAAATTCTTTCAACGTTCGTCTCCACGTTCGTAATCACAGGTGATGATTCATCACGAGCTTACTGGTACTTTGTATGGTACACTCACATTTATCCTTTCTTGTGACATAAATGAAGCATTCTATGTATTTCTGCTTAGTTCAGCTTAGTTTAATCAGTATTTCGAAAGATTTGATGAGAGAAATGATTTCTGCTGAGTAGGACAAATGTTAGTCTTGCTGTGGTCTCATATTTGCTGGTGTAAGAACATTTTGCTGTATAAGACTCGTGCTATGCATGCTTGCCTACATGCAGCATTAATGTGGGTGCAGGTGTTATTACTGACTCCATCTCCAGTTTGCACATTGCACACATTAACTGAAAACAAATGGTGCAATCATTCTGCTTGTATACGGTTAAGGTCTCCAAGCCGTATGCGGAGTTTGTGGTTCACAAATACATCTTGCAATGAGAAATCTTGATATTAGCTGTCCCATATAAGTTCAGATAGGGCAGATGAGCAACGATAGCTCGGCTTATCCTTCTCTTGTGGGTATTCTAAGTGTGACCAATTGTGAAAGCTGAAACAAAAGGCAAAAACGGTGAAAAAAATGTCCTAGTATAAACTCATACATCACATACCTTAACCAGCCAGAGTTTGATTCATCCTTTCCTAATTTCGTCTTGGGCTGGGACCTTGAAAAAAGAGGGGTATTTAAATGAATAACTGCCGTTCTCCTTTTTCTTGGATCTAATATTAGACCATGTTTATTTCATGTATAGACAGAAATTCAGCTGACTATGAGTTGGCACACATGGGACAAGGAACTAGTTCTTCCAAAAAATAGCAATTTCTTCATCTGTGAACTATTGTTGCTTCAGTCAGCAGTATTGCACACATATCCCAAAAAAGGAGCGAAAAAAAACAACAAGAGCTTATGTTTTGGGCTTTAACGATAAGAAGCACTGACTGTGCATGTGTCTATGCATGCGTGCATACACTGCTTCCCTTTGATAAGTGACTTCCTGTTGATGTCAAAATCATGCTTTTTGGCTACCCAAAAATATAACTCGGAGGGTAAGAAAAAAAAACAGAAGTTGTCAGACAATTTTGGTCTGCTCCACGTAATTCTTTTTGTTTTGTTTTTTTCTTCTTCTTCAGTTATTTTTCTGAGTTTTCAGTTTAAGAAGTTTACGTCAGTATTAGCAAAATTGCCTGGAAAGTTTAGGGGTTCAGAAAAAAATAATTTTATATACAATGCCATGCTGTGTCATCCCTGAGAGCCTGAAGCCTTGTATCTACCCTAATAACGAAACCTTAGTGCAGTAACATGTGCCACTTGCTTGTTGTGAAGTCCCCCTGCCTTTAGTTTGGTCAGCTGAAAAGCTGCTGGTTGCTTTTATTACATTTTTCAGTTCAGTATGACACAAAGTAAAGAGATTTGAAACATTAAATTTAATAGAAGAGTACGGCATGCTGCTGATACCTCTGTGTTCACTGAATGGTCCAGTAAAATCCTGGGTGAAGGTCAGTGTGCCAGTGCCTCGTTCATATTTAAAAAGAAAGGCAACATGCTTCAAATTCCAGCATTTTTTAATTGTTTTTTTCTTCTTTTTACATGAAGTGAATCCTCTTGATCGCTGATACAGTACATGTGGTATCATAGAGCTTTTTCGATTTGCTGTGACTGTGTAGTCATACAGAGAATTTTCATCAGCATGGAAATAATTTTCTGGTCATCCGGTATATGTAGATGGGGATCAGATCACTCTTGTTATTCATTTTCTTGTGTGCTACTACTTCTTGCTACAAACACAGCTATTAAATCAGCTAAGTATTAACTATGTTGTTTATCTGACAGAACATAGAGGGTGTTTTTCTTTGGGTTTATTTTAGCTATATTATTTCCACTTCTTGTAGGGTCACCTTTTTCAGTCTTCACACTGTCAGACAACTCCACCCTAGTCTAAATGGAAACTTTTATCATCTCTGACTCATACGTGAGGTCGTTTGTGCATGTAGATGTTAAAATGTCCTAAGTAATAAGCTGACACGTTACTTTTGAATTCTTGCATTTTTGCCGTTATGGAATAAAACCAGTTACATTTCATGACCAGTTATATTCTATATTCCTTTCACATTGATGTAACTCTGGCGCCATACATATATATTTTTCTCTATATCGTAGATATATTTTGATTAGATTACTAGGCTTTTGTGGTAGTTACATTTTTAGGAACTACGTTTTCACTCCTTCCTTCTACTAATTCTTAAAGACTGCTGTCCTAAATTTTACAGTTGTTGCTGTCTTACTTAGGTTTTTTTTTTTTTTAATAAAAAGAGGTCAAATTCGTAACCTTTTATATCCTGCATTGTTTGTATATTGATGTACTGTTTGTGTATATGTATTTTTGCTTTATTGTATATTTTGATTATATTACTGCATTTTGTAGCATTTTTTTTACTTTGTTTCTTTCTTTTTAAAAAAATAAAATACAATTATTAATGTGCACACTTACTTGAATTTGTTGATAAAGTTGATTCTTAAAGTCTTAAAGTCTTTGCTGTCTTATATGAACTGATACTAGGAAAAAAAATCCTGACCTACTTAAGGAGTTTAACTTCTGTGATGTGCCCACGGCCTAAGGCATAATCATTTTAGCAGATACAGCAGATTTTGTATGTAGGTAGTTTATATGTAGGTTGTGACGTTTGTGGTACTGTAGGCTGGTAAAAAGTACAAAAATTCATTGTAGCAATTTTGAAAGTTATTCAACTATCCTGCTAATTAAAATTAATAATATAACCCTTCATTATTTATTATTACTAGGGATGAAAAAGAAGAGACATAAAAAAACGATCACCGGTGGAAAAGTAGACCCTGAATCCTCTCCTAGATGAAATCACGAAGGAAGAAACGTCCTTTAAATCTTAAATGATGACATGTGGAGTTAAATTAATATTACACTAACAAATTTTGATAAAAACCCAAAGTATGCTGTCCAAGAATTACTTCCAACTTTCACCCGGTGAGAGTAAACAGAAAGCTCGAGATTAATCCTCCCACTTCCGGACGGTCAGTTTATTGTCTCCATGACTACAGTGTCAAAACGACGTCGTTGAAGGGGCCGTCCGCATGTAAAATTAGCTGTAAAAATACTCAATTGTTTGACTAAATACAGAAAATGTGCGCATCTGTGACTAACACGTTTACCAAGCAGAATGATGCTGGTACAGCTGTTTTGCATGAACGGGCTTATGACTACTTGTACGGTGAGTAAGCTTTGAACTAACTAGCACAGCTAACGAACACACCAATGAGCACGGCTAATAGCTGAACTTAGCTGCTTCGGTTGCCATCACCTGAACTGTTCCTCCACAGATCCGGTTCACACAGTGTCATCGGAGGCAGACCACACCAAGGCCAGTTTCAAGGCCTTTGCGTCCAGGTCTCGAATAGTAAGTCGTATCTATACTTTATTTCAAATTTATTACATTTTAAATAAAAGATAAGTTGATTTAAAATGCTGTCATTATTATATTATATTATAGTTTATTTTTATTTTTATTTAAACCTGTAGTATACAGAGCATTTATCTTGTATTGTAATAATGTATATTTTCTTCCACCTTTTGAATATAATATAGAGGGGCTTTTTTTGTCTCTTTTGTTTAACTAAAAATTAAATGTGAAATGCACTCTTTAACATTGTTTCCATCTTCTTCGCTCAGAGGAGAATACCAGAGTTTGCATCCATGTTTAGTGACAACCCACGCTATACTGTTAAAGTAGACCCTGCAGTCCCGCAGCCGGCCTTTACTGATCTTCAGTGGCGAGGCCACACAGAACAGCGCAAAGAGGCCCTGCAGCAGCTGGCTGGGTAACACAACATGCACATGAAGCCTTAGTTACTAAGTTGCTTCATTTTAAGATGTAGTCTTTCTCTCATTACAGACAAAATAAATAAAATAAATAAAGTAATGTTTTAATGTCTCTATTATATATTATAAATGATAAAATATGTATATATTACATCTTGATTATCTTCTTGACAGGATTTCTCCAAACACTCAAACATGGCTGAAAACCAAGGAGTGCCGTGTAACCGGAGCAGATTTCTGCAAATACTTTAAACGGTTTGACTAGCCAGTTGAGAATCTGATTGTTTGTTCTGTTTTTCCTAACACAACAAACTAAAGATAACTGCCATACTGCCCCACTTATGTAGATGTCAGTATAGTCTATGACATAGTATTTCACTTTGTTCCCTTTAGCCCTCTCATTCCCTTTGGGCAGCAGATACCTCCTAGTGTGATTTATGCTTTGCCGAGGTGAGGTTCTTTGCATTACTTTGTTGTGCAGCTGTTTCTGCTGTGCTATTTTTTCTGGAAGTATGTCTGTTTTTTGTGTCACCTTAGAGAAGACTTTATAACGTCTGATGCTGAGCAAAAACCCACCCACTTCACTGTTGGGGTCCAGACAGACTACAGGGAAAGTGAAACACAGACAGACCCATACAGCCCCGAGTATGTGATTCAGCCCGGGACTACTCCCTCAGAGCTCCTGCAGATGGCAGCTTTGACTTGGGGTATAGGCATGTTTATTGTGTTCTTTATCTGTTATATGAACCGTGATGGTACACTCATAAGCAACTTTATTAGATCTTGGCAGTATAATTATCTTGCTCTCTTCTCTCCATCCTATTTTTTATTTTTTTTTTTACTTACTAAACATAATTTATAATGCATCTGTGCTGGCTAACCTGTGCATAAGAAACTCACTGAGAAACAAATTGTTGCAAAAACAAATAGTTAACATCAACAGGTTCATCATCCACAAGTCACAGTTAGTAGGAAGAAAGTACAAGTAAAAT